ATTACTGCCTACCAGCTTGCAAATCTTGTTTTTGCTATTTCACGTTCAAAGATGGTTATTACAGCACATGGTTTTGCAGAGGACCTGTTATTATGTCTGGTTGTTCCATATGAAAATAATGGCCTGTCCCAAACCAAAAATCTTGTTATTACTTCATCAGAAGTCATGTCGGCTTGGAGTTGTCGTTAAGACGATTTATTAAAATGTTTGGTTGATCCTAAATGAAAATAGTCTTACCTGGATATCCATAATGGTCAACATTTTGGCCATCTTGAAAAAATCTTGTTATTTCTGCACCTTCTGAATAGAAAGCAATATCAGCACTGGATTTTTTCACTGGAAGACTTATAAGGTGTATAGCTTGTCTTAAGATTTTCTTAATATCAAAATCATGTACAATATGACCAGCACAGTAGCCATCTTGAAAATCTCATAAATTCTCATCTTAGATGGAACATCATATTTATATTTCGTTTTCACCAGAAGACTTCTTATGGTGCCTAGTTAACCCTAAATGAAAATCCTGCGAACAATAATTAAAACTTTTTTAGAAATTAATAAGCGTATTTGGTACACCGACCAATCTGCCATTAAGCCTTCAACAATGACATTTGCACCTTATATATATATATATATATATATATATATATATATATATATATATATATATATATATATATATATATATATATATATGTATGTGTGTGTGTGTGCTGTTACGTATATGTGATTAAGTTGCTTGTGTGTAAGATTTAAAATTCTTTTTATTTCATTTTTGTTTCATTGTATTTAATTGCAATGAATATTTTTCTCGGATTTGGGATTCTATTTTTAGTAGTGAGATATATTTTTAGCACAAAGTTTGTTTATTGAAGACGAAGATGTAATACGTGAAGGTTGGCATTTAGTTCGTCTTACTTTGGTAACAAATCAACATGAAGTTAAATGATTGGTCAATATCAGGGACATGCTTTCTTCACATGATCACTGTTTGTAAACAACCTATCTTTATGGTTAGCTTTTCAGACAGTCTGTACTGGCGGACGTGTCATAAATAGTGCAATAAGAGACCACATGACCAATCTCGCGAGATGTGAAGTGATATTTTGAGTGTAGATACGCATTCATAATATTGGTTTGGCCAGAGTCATTCAAAACCTCGAAGGAACAAGGTGTATGTATGTGTTTATTTTAAATTTGCTGCTATAATATTCTATTCTTCATCTGCTTTTTGGATTCAATAATATTCTTTCCTAGACACTGAACAAGTTGACTTTCTTATAAAAAAAAAATTCTGAAAGATATTCAAAGAAATTAATTCTGGAATTATTCGGAAACAAAGACTGTAGTTCAAGTGAGGAATTATTGTTATTCATACGTTGGATTAAATCTGACGTCATCGCTCTCCATATTCGTACGTCGTCGAGACTCGAACCAGAATTTCTATTGGACTATTTAGTGATATATTTGGATTATATTCACAGATTGTAAATCCTATTTACAAATTTTTCATTGTTGTCTAGAGAAAAAAAATTGTTTTGTTGAAATATACTAAGCTTTTTGGCTTTCACTCTTTTCTTTGCTACTGAGTACGAGCCCTTGTCACGTATATATATATATATATATATATATATATATATATATATATATATATATATATATATATATATATATATATATATATATAAGGTATGTACGCTGTTTCAATGATATACTACGAGATGTATACATTTTTCATTAAAGGTAAACGAGGCTTGAAATATTTGTACAACGAGTGGTATATCATTGATACAGCGTACGTACTGTACATATATTTTATATCTATCACATACAAATGCATTTATTTGCCCTCTGAATGGAGTTAAAATTTACTGCAGGCACCTGTGTATTAATCTAGTGAATGAACTCCTCACATCCCCGAGTGTGTCTGCTACAAAATGTAGTTCCATGCCTTTTGTGGCTGTTTACAATCACTTTTACATATAGATAGGTTGATTGTTTTCTTTTTTACTTATGATTTAACCATAATAATAATAATAATAATAATAATAATAATAATAATAATAATAATAATAATAATAATAATAATAATAATAGAGTACAAAAAACACTAGGTTAGTTACGCCATTCACCTGAAAGATAAGCCATTCACCTACCGGTTCATGGAAATTAATGTGTAACAGAAACTAAGCGAAATGACGAACCAACAAGAGACAATTAAAATATTTTAATATTTTTAAAGTTGAAGAACCATAGTCTCGTAGGTTACTTGGTGTAATTTATATTTCAAGGTTTTCATCTAGCCCAAATTCCTTTTCTCTCTCTCACTCCACATTTCTGCGTAGCTTGTTCATTATGCATGAGAGTAGGGGAAACATAAAGCATAAATGATTGTAATGAAAATGTGTATCATTAAATTCATTTAGAAAACGAGGATTATTAATACTTTTTATCGTTTTTTTTTCATACGTCACTAATGATTAATGTGTGGAAATTCATCATTGATCTAAAATTAACTGTAGACGAGCGCTAGAATGTATATATATATATATATATATATATATATATATATATATATATATATATATATATATATATATATATATATATATATATATATATATATGCGTATTATTGTACCATAGGCAGATCACAATTTGATATACCTATAGTATTGGTTTATCAAATTGCTTTATACTAATACTTTAAATGCCATGTTAATATATATATATATATATATATATATATATATATATATATATATATATATATATATATATATATATTACTCAATCCTGTCTTAACATCATTCTCTAGAGGAACCAGTCTTAAGTTGTGCTTAAGTTAAAATAAGAGGATTTATCTATTCAAATTATTCACTGGAATCACAGTGTTTATTGATACTTTTGAGATGAAATTGTCATTTTAGTATTATTGTGGAATCATTTAAGGACATTTTGGATTATATATTTGTGATACATCAAGACAGCACATCATCACAATCCAGACTATTGGTACACGGGGGAAGTTCAAAGCTGGAATGCATTTAGAATACTTCTGGAATTCATTAGGAATACTGTTCTTTTGGACTTGTATTAAGAACTTTTGGACTATGGGATTTAATTCACAATACTGTAAAAAAATTAAATTTTCACTTTGTATTTTAGGGAAGTACGTTATTTGTTGGATTTTATAGAAACTTATTATTATTATCATTATTATTATTATTATTATTATTATTATTATTATTATTATATATATATATATATATATATATATATATATATATATATATATATATATATATATATATATATATATATATATATATATATATATATATATTACTTAATTTAAGACCATTTAGTTGCAACACTGAGATATTGATCAGCTGATCCACAATGCATTCTTGTTTATACTCTATATGTTATTCACAAATAAATAAGTGAAATTTAGTTTAGTGGCCCCTTGTCTCTTGAGCAACCCCCTCTAGTGGTTACCTTTTTTATGAGGTCACCTTGACTGGCACCAAAAGTCTATATATTAGCTATTTAGTATCCCTCACCCTTTATATAAGGTCATATTTTCATTGGAGAAGAGTGGTCTTATAAGAGGGGTGCCAGTATAGAAGCAAGTGCATATATCATAAACCCTACACCACTGTGTACATATATACTCCTGTGAGTCAGAAATGGAATTGTCACCAGCTTTGTTTAAAAATTTTTTATTCAAAATAAAAAAGTGCTTAAGTCATGTTCAAATTTCTGAGAGATTTAAATCAATGCAAGACTGTCTTTATGCAGGATTCAGTGCTTGAAGGGGTGTAGTACTTTTGAGAGGAAACTTCATTGGGATGGATACTGTACAGCTAGGTTAGACTTGATAAAAGTACAGTTTTTGTGTACATGGTATACAGTACGCTCTTTGAGTATTAGTGAGGTAAGTTGGTAAATGTGTTGTTAAGAAACTCTGGCATTGTGGTGTAGAACTCATGTACAGGTTGAGTATTATGTTTGTTCATCATTTTTGTTTCTCGCTTCTTTTTCTATTTATATTTATATTTATCTACTATAAAATTGATTTAAAAGTAGCAATTTTTCACTTTGTTTTTTTTTCTCTCAGTGCTGAAAGTTCCAAAAGAAATATTATATGCATTTCATGGAATATAAAATCAAATTGTTTTCAGTTTTAAATATTGTTAACCAGTTTTTATCTTTTTCTCATTTTGAGGGTTGTTGTTATTATTATTATTATTATTATTATTATTATTATTATTATTATTATTATTATTATTATTATTATTATTATTAAATTGATAGTGGTTATTCAAATTGTCACCGATTTATCACGAAGCTGCTTAGTACTAATATTAGTACCCTTAGTCCTACGTTGTGGACAGTGCATTTGAATTAGCTCAGTAGCAGATATATTTGCCTAGTATGTCCAACCCACATCCTTTTTGCTATGAATCTGGCAGACTAAACTTTGAGCATTAATAATGTTGAGGTAGGTACTGTACTGTGTTTTCCATTAGGGTTTGCCGAAGCATTTTACTTTTGATAATATTAATTCAGATTATAAATGGACACACTGTTGTACACTCAGTATAATGTAATAAAAGGGAGACAAATGTGAACTTAGAGCTTATTTCTCATGTTAATTGCATGTATATTGGTTTGCTTTGATAATGTGCAGCGCATCAACTGAAGTAGGTTATCCAGTGCCAAGGCAATTAGAATAAATACCTTGTCCAAAGATGCTCCTATAACCGACCCAGATTTATTCATTGATAGGATTCGATCCCAGTCCCGTTCATTTATAACCGACACAGATTTATTCATTGATAGGGTTCGATCCCAGTCCCCTTCATTTATACATGTTTTCTGGGCATTAATAATGTTGAAGCAGATGCTATGTTTTCCCATTACGTTTCATTCTCAGGCCGGGGACTACAATAGTACCTGGCCCTTTCATTGCAAACTGGACTCTGCAGTGTTACCGATCCGGTGGCCTAGTTGTTAGAGCATCCGCCTTGGATGTGGGAGGTTATGGGTTCAAATCCTGAGTGAGTCATACCGAAAACTTATAAAGTGGTCTCTAACAGCTGCCCCACTAGGCACTCAACAAAAAAAGAGGTTAGTGTTAGGACTGGTTGGCCTGGTGTCAGAGTAATGTGACTGGGTGGGACATGATGCTACATGTCTGCGGCATGATGCCTTAGTGCTAGACGTCACTATACATTGCAACACTGCAGACATTGTAGCGAATTGACTGAAAATTCGTTAAAGCTACATTAAAAATCCAAAACACACACTCAGCATTGTAAGTAAAGTTTGTTGACAGAGAGGCTTCAAGGACCACCCTTAAGACTGAATGAAAACTAATTCCACCAAAACTTATCTTTTCCAGGTAAAATGATGGACTGTATACAAATAGTAGCCAAGAGTTTTTGGCTGGGTATACTAATCTTTGGACAGGTGATATGTTATCCCTATGGAGCACCTGATAGTACCTGTTCTACTATGATGCCCAATCATGGAATCAGTGCTAGCAATATACCTGTTCCCTACACTATTACAACATCCAAGAGTACATACATGCCAAATGAAGAAATCACAGGTGAGAAAAAAATTATTTACTGTCTTGTCTTCTTATTTTCATTACCTCAAATTTTGTAAAGCATTAATTTGGAAAAGTCCTAATTATTTTTTATATATAAATTTTATACATTCGCTATAAGGTAGATTATTTTGTGTCATGATGCTGTCCGTCTGTCTGTTACCAGTTTTGATTGTGCACAGTAACTTGAGTAACTATATTAAATGATATTTGTCAAGGTTACTGTGACTGAAAGGAAGAAATTGGCTTCTGTAAAACAACTCGATTCTTCATTGTCTAAAATTACCAAGCTTTGTAAATGGCATGTCAATATAGTAAAGAAGAACTCTAATGATTTCAAGGTCAGAAGCTCAGGGGCAAAGGTCACAGAATGAAAGAAGAAAATGGTCAAAATGCTATGTGAGCCTTTGGAATGTCCTGCTTGCATTTTATATGTAGTTTGTTTTATTCCAAAACGGCTGAAGGAATTTTGATTAAACTTATTAAAAATTTTATGACTGACTGTTCTGTTGAAGACTTGTGTCTATTTTTTCTTTTTTACTTTGAACCATTTGGAATTCATTCAGAGTAACTACAAGTAAAACTTGTTTTCAGTAACTCTGATAAAACACTGTGCCAGATGTAATCAGACTTTGCAGATGTGCAGTGTTAATTGTGAGGGGTCAACAGTATAACAAACTTGTTTTTGTGTTTTCTATTTTCTCTAAACAGCCATTGGTCTTCCACAACAACCTGGTTGTTGTTGGGCTTAACGCCATTTTTCAGCACACGATACATGGCAGCTAGTATTAATGGTGGTGGAAGAAACCGGGAAATCCCCGGAGAAAACCACCGACCCACGAGAAGCTACTGGCAAGCTTTCTCGCAAATCTAAACTGCACATAATTATAAATCAAACCAATCTGCATTAATCAAACTTCGTCAAAAATGAAATCGCTAAGCTAGGCAAGGATTAGGGCCGGTGAGTTATCTGGATTGATTGGTGAATATGTTGTCTCAAGGTCTTGCACTCGCTGACCTGACATACTTAAATTAACTGTCATTGTATCCTCAGATGGTTTTATATAATTTGCTCGATCTAAAAAAGGCATAGTTACTGTTTTTTCGGTGGCGCTGTCAATTAACATATTAAAGTTTGCATAATACCTCCTTTTTATGTCTTGCTGAAAGATAAACTTCAACTTTGACCACCTGATAAGTTTAATCTTGATAAAATTTTGTAAATACCTGATCTAGAATGAGCATATTCAACTTTAACATGGAATGATTAATCAAACATCAGCATAACCATGATCTACTGGACTGCCATTATCTGATAGGGGATTAACTGGATTGGTCAAAACTAACCTTCTTATGAATCTGTTACTTACTATGATTGAGTTTTTATTTGCACCATAAATTCGCATCAAGACAAGTACCAACTCCCACATTTTTTCTAGTTTTAAATAATTAAGAACAATAAAACGTTCATTAGAAACAGAATCCGCTTATAATACTGCTAATAACACTAAAACAACACTAATAAGTTTTTGTTATACAATTAAAATTAACCCACCAGCTATTGATGCTGACACAGCTGAAATGATAGCAAAAGCTTGGTACGTTTATGTTTTAATTAACTCATGAACCAACTAAAACGATAGTTGTCTAAAGAGAATTGCTTTGACGGTTCGCATCAGATAACGATGATGTGCTGCCGCTTAACACACTGTTCGGATTTTGTGAAGCCTATACTAAAGTATTTCATGGAATGAAACATACACTTATACTTGATCGAGCTGATCCGAATGACTGTCTGTTGAAATCTGATGCTACTGCCTGCTATTGGTGCATTTGTAATTTAACGACTGGCATTGTGGCTGCCATAAGTCGTTTCATTGATAGCTAAGTCGATAGAACTTGAGACAATGCTGACTGCCTACAGCAGACAAATTTACTTTGAACAGAAAATTATTCATCAAATTGCAGTACCAAACAATATATAACACATGGCGCATAACAACAACACCAAGCTAACAGTTGCCAAGGCATGCAGTTGTTGTATTTTAATGACAGAATAGACATAGAGATCAACTTCAAAACAATTAAATTTTCCACAGCGCTGATTTTCGTCAGTCTTGATGTTCGACGAATATTTGTCAGAATAAATTCTAAGAAGTAATCTGAATGATCAATCGAATGGAATTTAACAACTGGAGCTGATAGAGATGTCTCGTGCATATCTCATGATAGAGATTTTTCATGCATATCTCATGATAGAGATTTTTCATGCAATCTCATGATAGAGATGTCTCATGCATATCTGATGATAGAGATGTCTCATGCATATCTGATGATAGAGATGTCTCATGCATATCTCATGATAGAGATGTCTCATGCACATCTCATGGAAGCTGTGCAATAATATCAAGATGTTGACACTCAATCTCAATTTTTTGAGTTTGGAACTCTTTATCTGATATTTCACTTTTATAATAGCAGATAAACTATGCGATCGAAATCAGACATTGAAGTCATGTGGACACTTAGACAGGATACTTTAACTATTAATTATTCTGCTTATCTACTAATTTATCTGACAGATTCTTAATTATAAATTGTACGAAGGGCATGATAACGTTCAAGTTTGAACGTGGAAATTAAACTTTATCAAACAAGCAGTAAAATATATTCATTTCCTGATGTTTTTTTTTTTTTTAAAAATTACTACCTGTGTTAGGTCCTTTGCACTTGGGTTACACTTTTATTAGAAAAGTGTGCCAAATATAGATCCGCCTCACAAGCAGTGGAATTACTGCAATGCAGATTTTATCCAGCAGAAGGAAAATAAATATAGAATGAAATATGTTGTACATGAGGTGAATTTATCTCCACGACAAGCTACAAAAATTAACACAAGCTGTTATGAAATGACAGTCTGTTTCGCTTAAGATAGATTTCGTAACCCCGAGTAAAAACATTTTGCCAGCAAAACTAATGTTAACACAGTGGCAAATCAATAGATAGGACTGCAAACATCATTTATTTAAAATTTATTAGCGGCAGAAGTATTGCAGTGTCCTCAGTAGGTCTAACGGATGTGTTGCACATTGCAAAGCATAATGACAATAAAATGTACCTGATGGACATTTTTTGTTTTTAGTAAATACGTATTTAGTGTTCCTGTTACAGATAAAAAAAATGGCAAAACCATAGCTGATTCGTTGATCGATTATTGCTACCACAGAATGTCAATCGAATAAGGTATGAACAGACCACAGAGTGAAGTATTTTAATAAGCAATTTGAGCAGTTTCTGGATCCAAATAAGATCACAAAATACAGCAAAGGAAATGATGGTAAAAGTGTATCCATTTAAAGATTTAATCATATGCTAAACGATGTGATTATGATTTTAGCGTAGCTTTAAAAATTTTTCAGACATATCGCTACGATGCAGTGTGGCAGTTTATAGTGACGTCTAGCACTGGGGCATAATGCCGCAGACATGTATCATGATGTCCCACCCAGTCACATTATACTGACACCAGGCCGTCCAGTCCTAACGCTAACCTCGTAATGCTGAGCGCCTAGCGAGGAAGCTGTTAGTAAAGAAAAGAAAATCAGTATAGAAAAATTATATAAGCAACTTACATTTAAAAGACTAACAGATATATTAATGACCAGTCAAAGATCGTGTTGGATTACAATAACACAAAACATAAAACAATAGAATGTCACCAAATGAATCTGTAAATAACCCAGTACTGTTGAACGAGAATAATACACAAGCTATATGAACCTACTTAATGAATGTTATTGAGGAAAATATAGGAAAGTTGAAAATCATAATAAATAAAACTTGGAATCTGTAAATAGCCTTTACTGAGAATGAATTAAATCTGAATTTGTCTCTCAATGCAACCATCCCATAAGCGATGCCGCGTTGATTATAGGAGCTTGTTATAAACTGGAATCACTCCATTAATATAGCAGGTTTTGTAAGGACCAATGTGATAGGTTGGAATTTAAGCGCGCTTCTCCTATAACAACAACACAATAAACCGGGCCATGTAAAAGACTGAAACACAAATAAAATGGCAACCAATCAAAAGGCACCCATCCACATAACTAACCAGTCTATGGTAAACATACAATGCCAGACCCTATATTTAATTTGTTCTAGCACAGCCACCCTACTTCTTGTTCATCTAAACTATCACTTAACTAATTTTAATTTAATGAATATGACTGATTCAAATGTACTTTGGAATATATATTATTTAATTAAATTACTCCACTATATAATACATTACATAGCATTGACAATCAACACCTAAAGGGTTTAAACTTAACTATAATAAATATTTAAAATTAATAACAACTCCACCACCAGTAACAACAAATGACAAAATCAATTATTCGACGGAAGGATCACAATTCTAAGGATCTCAAGAAACCATAAACCAAGAAGAA